AGAACCAAATTTCTCCTGCAAGCCGATGGTGCAACGGAAGACCCCGCCGAATGCAACATCTTCACCGAATACAACTGAAAAAAAGTTAAGCAACAGTAAGAAAAGTACTTCGAAAACAACTCGATTTCAAGAAATATTCAAATTTTTTTCAACTGCTTCGTCAACAACTAAAAAGAAAAAACGTTCAGATTTCCTGCTCAAGCACACTCTAATCAGCTCTGTCTGTGCAATTCACCAATATTTTTTGATTTTCTCCTTTAAAACGAAAAGAAATGCCAAAGCAAAGACGACGGTGTCATTCAATCAGGGGTGGCAATTCAAGATATTTTGTCAGATACCTTGTTGATACGGATTATGCGGATGATTTTATTTTGATGAGTAGTACGGTGAACATGATTGGCTGTTTAGCAGCTCTAGAGATAGAAAGAAATGAAAGTCTGTAACTGCTGTAATGTCCGTTTTCCTCTCACTTTCATGATGGAGCCATTTCTGGTGCCCTTCTTTTCATGAAGTTAAAGATACGGCGCTGATCTCCATTCCCATGCAATCAGCCAGGAGCGATTTAGTTTAAAGGCATAGTCAACCGCAGTTATGTGGGAAGCATAGTCCGTAATCTCTTATTTTCTTCCCACAGAGTTATACTCATTTCTCAATCTCTGACAGAAAAAAAAGCGAGCCAGCTGATCGGTTCTGAGTCAGGCGCTCTACCGACTGAGCAACCCCGGCCTTTGAGTTGAGCTGTTGTATTTATTTCAACCAAACACTGCTCAATAAGACAATTTAAATAATAATGGGAAGATCACCAAGACGCCATCGAGCAAATCTAAAATGTTGTGCATGACCGTGTCAACGGCAATCCACCACGTACCAGCAGTTCAACTGAGGCATGGCATCGAGTATTTCAACAGATTGCGGATTACTACAGTGGGTTCTCGATTTAGAAATTAACTGACTACTTTAAAAGGAACAGGTATACACTAAAGTATTCGCTGAACATTAAAATGCAAAATTGAAACAGCCTGCGGTATCTAAATATACTACGATCAATAGATATTCGTAAGATTTAATTCCAACATAGGTAGTCCACCATTACCGGATTTTTAACGCGAAATTTCGAATGTTACTGCATTAAATAAATTGATTTGGCAGGCACCTGAATTTGAACATAGCTCCTAGCCATAAATTATAACCCCAACGACTATCTGCTACGCTTATTTATAATAATGCAGCCACAATATTTTGAAACGACTCATTGCAGCCTTCAACGAATCAAAAATGATTGTCTAAGTTAGCGTGGGTTCCTCGCTATAACTTCTTTAACATATTCCGCAACCTTACCCTAATGCTACAAACAGTCAAACTGCGCAAAGAATAGCCACAGCCCAGCGAAAATAAGAACCCGTCATCCAAAAAGAAAGGGGACAGAAACAACACTATGTTTTACCTTACCGCCTGTGGCTCGCAACCTTGAGGTATTTGCGGATCTTCCTCTGAATTCAACAGTGGCTGTGTACCACCTGAATCTGAAGTAAATTATTTAAATAATTAGGTAAAACTCTATCTCAACCAACTAATACGTGCTCCCTAGCCAGCGGCGAGATGTCTTTGAAAACTTTTTTTGAAAAGCAGTACAGTCAGTTTAAAGAAAACAAAAATTCTATTTGTTTAAGTTTTCAACATTCCGTCAATCGAAATACCATCGCAGTATATTAAGTTGTTAAATTACGTAGTAGCAGATGTTGCGAAGAGCGAGGAAGGTTAAAAATTACGTTTACATTCATAACTGAAATATTTTTAAAAAAATTAAAGCTACTAGTTATATTCATATTAACCGAAATAGTTGTCTCATTTCTAAAACGAAAATCCATTCATAAAATATCATGCTTTCGTCGTGTGCCCAAAATTTTTAAACCATAGGCCCGGCGAAGCACACGGTTTACACGAGTTGCTAGACATTAGGCTCGAATAATTTACTTCTGTTCGCTCGCTCCCTATGACATCAAGACACTGTAGCGAAGATTTTGAAAAAAGAAGGCAACACTGACCTCATTCAAAAAACAAACTATGAACAACACAAAACACTTACGACTATTTTCGTTTTCTTCGAGGCCAAGATTTAAAGCGCTGTTGATCGCCTGACACAGGTTCATTTTTTCTAAGGTTCCTTTTAAAACGTAATTTAGAATAGCATGATTAAAAAAGCCTTAAAAACGATTTTACCTGCGCTATCTGGAAACGAACGTTCCTCCGGAACGTATTTGAAACTTGATTGGGCCCGCTTCCATGTCACACCGAGATATCCGCTTCGACATGCCCTTAGGAGATCGACAAACGGTCGAAAGAGTTGCATCATGAGTCACTTCAATTTTCTAAAACCAGTTGTTAAAATAAGCTGCGACACTGGCATTCTTTCAACGACGATATTTTAAGAGTCAATCGATTTCATAGGAAATCGATTGCTTTCATTGGTGCGATCGAAAATGTTCCACTATAATTCGAGCTGAGCTCCACTTTGAGGGAGAAAAGATGCCCTCGAAGAAGTATGACAGACATGACTCATCAACTGGAAAAACAGAGGTAGCTAACTTAAGGAAAGAAGACCTAGGTTAATAAACCAAAGCTCTTCATTCAAGGTAGGCGGCATAAAAATATTTCTGGGGGCTGGCCAGCATCTTAACCGTCATTATTATCATACCCATCGAAAGCTAAATAAAGCGCTGTTAGAACAACACTGTTATTGAGACTTATATTTGACTCGAAGAAACTGAACGAGAAATTTATGGTAAACTTAACGCTTGTCAGTCATATCCCTCAATATTATCAGATCTACTTTGCTGATGAGGTCTTCAGTAAAATTTAATCAAAAAACTGCCCTCATGATACTGCCATTTTTGAACGCTATACCAGTTTCGTCGTCGTCTGGGTTACCCAAGGACACGCAGGCTGCTGGAGAAATGAGGAACACTGCAAAAAGTCAGCGATCAGAAATCTGCTTCATACTTTCTAGTAGATGCGGAAGTAGCGGCATGGCGACGTCATACGAAGATCGACAAAAAACATGATGAAGATACCAGTCAACAACAGAGCCGCTAACTACTCTGAACGGAGGAGGCAGAAAGCGCAGCGCAATTATATAATGTAAGATTCTGCAACAAAGATTCCGACACTTCGAGCTCACGGTCGGAAATTGGAACATCTCCTCGCTCAGAAGGAAAGAGAAGGAGCTAGCTGATGAGGCCTTAAAGTATCGACTAGCATAGACCATCGTGAACAAGTTCAAGGTCTCTGGAATTCTGAACCTCAATGGATGGAAGCTGTTTTACCTAGGCGTCGATATCACGACTCGTGCTCAGGCCGGTGTTGTGGTAGAACCCAACCTTGCCGATAGAATTACTGATTGGAAGCCTATCAGCGGAAGGGTGGTAATTATCTGACAGAAACTATAAGAGGCTAAAGCGCTGCCTTTGTTACGGGTCTACGCGCCTAATTTTGAGGGGGCACATGAGTCCTTCCGTGAGGAAGAATGTGCTTTGTACAAAATGCCATTCCACGGAG